AAAACCCTATTTTTTCCCATACCGGGCATGTTTGTAACCGCCATTTCCTCATAAAGTCAGTATTTTATTTCTCTTTATCGGCTGTTTTCTCAAAATGCGACTTTTTTCTATACTTTTTTGAATAACTCCACCATTTTTCTTCCAATCTTCATGAAATTTTCACAGAATGAAGAGAAGAGGTAATACTAAAAATATGTGTGTTGAATTTTTGATATATGGAATAGATTTTTGTTGGTGGTGTCTGGAGTGTGGATTTTCACAGATTTTTCGCAAACTTGAGTGCTACCTCAGGAAAAAATTCATTAAAAATTTTCTTATTCGATTAGGAAAAAAACAACAAACAAATTTTTAGATCTAATGTTTGTGAACACGCAAGCAAAAAAAAGAATCAATTTCCATGAGCGATAAGTGCGGTATTCATTACGCAAGACATGTCAATAAAATCCAATATGGCGGCGTATCCATGGAAACGAAACTTTTTTCTCAAATTTGATTGTGGATTTTAAGATTCCTTACTATGCTTCTTATATGTGTGAAATTTGGTAAAATTCGGTCCAGTAATAAGCGAGATAGCCTCCAGGTGTAGCCCCCCCCCCCCCCTTAAGTAAGAGCCTAACAGCACTTGCATAAGTCATTTAAGCGTCAAAGATTAGAGGTGTTGCTAGAGAGTAACATAAAAAGAAAAGGAGGAGAGACAGGACAATTGATATTTGATCAGAAAGAAAGAGCAAACCACACCGGAGCAGCCACCAACCACCCACTACAAAGGACTTTCTCTTTAAAAAAAGCATGAAGGTACAGAAAAATTGCCAAGCCACCATGAACTACCAGTGGAGGCCCAACTATAAGTACAAGAGAAAGAGAGGAAAGAGGGTGGGGTGCTGTTGTCAGTTGTGATGTAAGCCTTTGTTAACATGAAAAACAGCATCAAACAAATTTTAATACAGACAAAACTGCGCTGGGAAAGGCAAAATCACCACCAAAAAAAAAATGCAATTGAGAGGAAAGAGATGCCCTTGAGAGACAGACAGATGAGCATTTGATACGGTGCAGCCTCTCTATAACAACATTGACGGGACCCGAAAAAAAATGTCGTTTTAGAGAGGGAACCAAAAATATTACTAATGATATATTATAAGGAAAAAATTGGGACCTGGGCACCAGGTCGCTATATCGAAGGTCGTTATAGAGAGACTCCACTGTATGAGGATGTAAAAGTCACAAAGAATAGTCACCCATCAAATTACCACAGTTTCTACTAAATCTAATAGTGTGAAGAAAGTGCCATCGATAAATATTTCAATAAATGACAAAATTCACTTGTATTTAAAAATCATCTTTTATTAGTGCAAAGGAATAAAAGGTAACAAGCAAAAATCATTTAAAGAGGCAAGTTGTGATTTGGTACCACAGTTTGCAGTCTCCCCAACAGTATCAAAACCCCTCCAGAAATTGTCCCACTTCTGCCATGAGTATGAAAATATGTGAAACATGACACAAGGTATTCATGTGCTTTTTTTTTGTCTTTCGTATTTCTCCGAAAAAAAAAGTGCTTAACACACACCTGAAACAATGTGAAGACTAGACTCATCATGGACGAAGGAATACAAACTAACATTGCAAAGCACATAACCTGTGTAACAATACTATCATGTGCTAGAGGGGTCTTTCCTTCTTCCATCTATACAGATCAATTTCTGCACCACGAGCACTGAAGACCTATTGTTTTCCTTTTGTCCTGCAAAAATTTCTCATTTCAATTAAATAATCTGGCTGCACACAAGCTTCATCAAGTCCACAATCACATTATTCCAAAGTTAAAAAAAAAAAAAAAAAATCTTTTATGGAATGAGCTGTGTATTGAGAGGAGGCAACTGACAAATTGTTCATTTTCGGGTGATACAGAATGGATGAAAATATGCACAATTCAGGACACCTCAAGCAATCACTGGTTCTGCAGTAGCAAGAGCTTCTTTTGCTTGAGTAAACTCTTCAGCCTCAGCCAAGTCGGACTCTTTTTGCTGTAACAGAAAACAATACTCTCGTTGTAAATTAACATTCACATCATTTATGATTAGGAAAACAAAGCTCAATAAATACCATATTTACAACAGTGTCATCATAAAATAGTAAAGCAAATAATATCCCCTCCACCCTTCAAACTTTTTAACCTTGCATGCAACATCTGGGGTCCCTGCATAGGACACAGTGGCATAGCTGTTATGTCTTACTGGAACAGGGGACAGCAAGCTGTGATCATGATGGTGGGCAGATGCAAAAGATTATCATTCTTTATTTTCAACCTTTGAAATATAATGCTTTTTAAAAAATACCGGTAGATTCTAATCGAGCATAATACTTCAACTATTCCTTTTCATGGCCTCAATCCAAGAATCCCACACAAAATACTGATCACAGACTATTTCCCTCTCAGTGTTAGCTTGTATCACATCTTGATGAATCGAGCAATCAGGTCTGTGAATGCCATGGCTCAGTGTCATTGGTAAGGCTTAAGAACTGGGACGACCCAGACATCAAGAATAGAGTACCAGGCTATAACCAACTACAAGCAGTGTTCAGTTAATATAGTAGAATTCAATTCCCACACATTTGTCTTATTATGAAGGGAAAATGGAGGGAAGCAGGGGAGAGGGGTGACTATTCCAAGGTCTGAAAGGTATTTCCCAGTTTACTATTAAAATCAAACTTCACTGCCACATGTGATTCAACAGAAAGGACACGCGTAGTGTAATGTAAAATAACTGATTATTAAAACTGAAAGAGAATACATGGCACACCAGTTGTGGCATTTAAGTTGAAACTAGGTGTTCCCCATTGAGCCCTTTCTCTTGTTGGGATCTTGAGGTCAGCTGGCTAATGTGGCTGTGGCTGGGCTGGTCAAATTTTTGGTACTTTTCAACATAAACTATGTCTACCTTCAGAGACTGTCAGATCTAGATCTATCCTCAGGATTTTGTTTGTTTGAGTAAACAGAAGTACATTGACACAATAATGGTCATTTAGTACTGGGAAAAGTAAAACAGACAGACAGCAACAATAGAGGGAAAGTAAAGAAGTAGGACCTACCAGTGGCACCCTCCAGCCACCCGTTCCCTCAGGACTTCTGATTGTATTTGCTTGCCTTATTTAGTAATTAGCTGGCCGTGAGTCTGCCTTTCACCTTTCAAATTTGAATTGGTGCCGTCATAACACAATGATGTTTTATGGCTTGAGCAGGGAACTTAGTCAAAAATGGAAAGCTAAAAATTGTAGACAGTATATGGGGAGGAGCAATGGGATCAACCTGGATCTTGAGGCTCATTTCAAAGTGAGGGGGGGAGGTCATTTCACCAATTGCAGGGCTGACCATGAGTTACCAGGGAGACTCAAACTTATTTTCAGTCCAAATTCTGGGTATGTACCTTTCTTCTTTAATAACCCAGGTTATAACTGGCTGTGCAGAATTGTGATTTCACACATAAAAAGACATTGCATTGATAGTCAGTTTGATATTGACGTTGAAAATATCTACTGAGCTGATTTTGAATAAAATAGGTACGGAACTAAAAATACAACACATTGGGCACCCTATAAATACTTTCCTCAAAGACGGACTAAGCAACACAAAACGAACACTCAAAGACATAATAAATCGCAAAACATAGGGCTTTCAGCCCACGTACTTAGTGGTTTGCCGTGTAAAATGGGCAGGAAGTTACATTTGTTTCAAATTTTGGCAAGAAAGTTCCACCGATGAATGAGTCAGTGAGCTAACTTATCCCAATTACCCCCAGCCAAGAAGATGTCAAGGACTGAAGAGCTACACCAACTAAAAGTCACATTATCGGTGAATAGTATGATGAACATTTCAAAATTACACAAATGTAACAAATAACCTTCATAATTACAGCAAAGTTTCTACATTGTATTTACCAATAACTCATCCAAGTCAGCATAAGCTTTTTTCAATCTCCTGATAGTGTCTGGCACCATCGACCGGGATTCTTGAAGAACTTCACCCTAAAATAGAAGGAAAAAAATAATACGCTCACACAATAGGGCAAGGAGAGACTAAATATATATACAGTCAATAGGAAAAGTCAGTAATAATATCTGATAAACTTTTACATGAGAATACTAGATTCTATTTAAGGTAATTTGAGCAAATTATGAACTAAGTTCCAAATGTTTGTTTTATTTTCTCCTAAAATGAAGAGAAAAACACAAAAAACAGTTCTTCCAACTAACACAATGTTTCATATGATATATGATGGGCTTTTGACAAAATGAATAATTCAAAACAAAGTTAAAATTTAAACGTTTATACATTTTTACTATAAATCCAATTACAGTTCATCCTTGTTCTAATTTTCCATCAGACAAGATAATCAAATGCAACATGTGCAGTAGGAATGTGATCAATTATAACCTCTTCTTAAATGCCTTTTCTTTCATAGAAGATAGAAAAACAATAAGGATGCTATTTTTCAGCAAAAATAAAGGCAAGGCTAAAGCTTACATGGGAGGATCAACAGGTTAAAGAAATGGTAAAGTATCTAAATAACTGTTAGTTCCAAGGACCTGAAATGTTCAGTCCCTAGAAACACACTGCTTGACTTTGACTTTGTTGTTGTTGTTAGCTATCCAGTAGCATCTGAGCGTTAACTTTTCTGCATGATGCCATTCGGTAATAGCTGCATGTCTGTTCTAATTGTTGTCTTGAGGAGTAGAGGCAATTAGACGCGTGGGGTAGCTTGGGAAGAAAACATCCCCTTAATTCAGTTAGTTTTCTACAGAAGAACAGATGATGTTCCACTGTCTCTGAGGGGTAGTCACATAGTGGGCAGGCAGCAGATTGCTTTACTCCAATTCGGTTGAGATGTTGGTTGAGGGGTACATGTTGTGTTCTAAGTTGGAAGATTATGGATTAATTCTCCTCCTCAACTCATTGATTGGATCTTTGACCAGTGGTTTATTCATGTGGCCATACATCCTCCTTCCTGTCGTACCTGTGGCACAATCATTCATCCACTCTTCCTTGAGGTTTGACTTGATCATTTGGCAGCAGGTGGTGTAATTCGTAGGAATTTCAGGCTGAAGGAGGCTAGCTCCTTTCTTTGCCAGAGCATCAGCTCTTTCATTTCCCCATAACCCAGTATGGGCAGGAATCCATTGTAGGACTACTCTGACGTGGTGCCCACTTATCAAATTATGTAGACTCCAAATCAAGTGCAATATATCTTTGTTCACATCAGTCCCACTCTCAAGTGTCTCTAGTGTTGAAAGGCTGTCTGTAAAGATAACGATGTCTGTGGTAGCAAGTGGGTTAGTGTCAAACAAGTAGTTGATGTAGTTTGCTGTGTTGACGATAGCCTGTTGTTCGGCAATGAAATTGGAGCAGAAGGACCTGCTGGAGTTAAAAACTTCTTTTTTTTATCCCACTGGGCAAGTGGATCACTGACTCATATCCAGCGTTGATTGTTGCCTTAAAGGCAGATCCATCAGTGTATGTGTGGATTCATGTTGGTGGATAGGAATCAATTGTTTCAAGGGCAGAATATTTTAGTGCTATAGGATATGTGTTTTTATTGCTCTCGTCCAAAAGTGTTTTCCTAATTTCTGGCTTTGCTATGGTGAGATGTGGTGGGAGAGTTGAGGGAACTCTTTCCAGAGGTTCTCGTCTTTCAGAGAGGTGATGTTTTTCTTGGAGATTGAGAACAGTGTCAAGTACAGATTTAGTATTTTTTAGTCTTTGATTAGGTTTCCACTTGTCATTAAGGACTCTATTATGGTGGTTATTTTCTAGCCTTCTAGATCTTTCATATACTTCTAAAGCTGCCCGTTTTCTTCGAGTTTCTAATGGCTCAATATTTGTGTGGATTTCACAGGCTGCAGTCGGTGAGGATCTCATTCTGCCAGAAATGAGACGAAGAGCTTGGTTTTGGATGGTGTCCATTGAGTTCTTTGTAGTTTTACTGCAAATGTTTTGTAGAACAAGATTATAATCAAAAACAGCTCTGGTATATCCTAAATAGAGGCCTCTCAAGGTGTTCTTGTCTGATCCCCAGTTGGTACTGGCTAGTCATTTGATGAGATTAAGTCTCTTCATAGCCTTCTTCCTAAGGTTGTTGGTGTGTTGTTTCAGGTTGGACTTTGACTTAATGTACTTCAGCCACCACAACCACTTCTAGAAAACAGTGGTAGTCAGATTCTGGTATGCTTTGCATCTCTAAATTTACAGCTCCTCCTAGGTCCTCAATGCATTCAAACTTTCGCCCAGCAAGCTTATCTTTCGGAATAGGAAATAAAAAAAATTCACTGGAAGTTAAGTCAAGACTATAGACTGGATGAGACAAAACTTGGATCTCTTGCTCTGCCATGCAGAGTTGTGGTCCTTACTTTGTAAGGATATGCATTGTTGCAGAGGAGCAATGTGCTTGAGGTTCTGATCTTTAGTATCTGCTCATCAACAGCATTTTTCAGCAAGGGCACAATCTTTTGCGTAGTGTAAGAAGGAGTCATAGTAGTACTATATGTCATGATATCAACCATAAAGGATCATTATAACTGAAGAAGACAGTAAAAAGACTTTCTGCGTTGAAATCCTTGAAGTGAAATGACAGGCCTGTCTCCTTTTTTCATCTATCCACATGTAATTCAGCCATTTTGGTGGAATTCCAAAAAAGGGAATGCATCATCAAAATGTTTCATCTCCCAAGACAATACTTGTAATTCGGTAAGGCCCATGGTGTTAAAACATATTGTGCAATTCTATGGGATATTTGGAATTATATCAACATGGATGGAGACATCAAAAACATGAAACCTACTACTTGTGATAACCTCTGATCACACAACTGTAAGAAGACAGACATATATTTATGGTAGTTTTACAGTGTACAAAGTCCAGTAAGCCCCCCCCCCCCCCAAAGAAAAGCAGATGCAATTGACAACAAATTTTTTCTTTAGAACACGAAAAGAGATCCGGCCAAAGCAGTGTTACCTGTTTCTTGACATCATACTCGTCTTTTCCATCAGCTTTCATTTTCTCAATCTTCTCTTCAATCTGAGTTGCTTCTTTCTCATAGCTCTCTTTTTCCTTAACGAGCCTGTAAGAGAAGAAATATATTAGAATTAGTATAATAAAATATCCATCACACAGATGTGCCTGATCCCTTCAAAGGGCAAATACAAAAGGCTCCTGAACCTCCCCAATCTGAATAGTACCATTATCTTTGGAGGGGGTTCCTTTCTCTTTCCTCTCTTATATTGATTGGGACATGTGTTTTTACCTATTTTTTAATATACATATGAATTCGTTTCCTAGCTGACATTAGAAATTTGGCAGAAAAACCAAAGGCCGAAATAGTGCTCAAAAGTACTGATCAGACCCTCACATCCTCAATGTAGAAGAAATTGGTATCAGTTCTCCAAAACACCATTAAAAACAAGAAAAAGAAAGAACCCCCCCCCCCCCCCCCCCAACACCATGCACATATTTATTTATAAGTGAAATCTGGAAGTACAGATTAAAAAAAAATGTATACAACGAAACTCAGATGCAATGAAATTGTCCTGCCTGACCTTCAGTTTTGTTGAATCTCAGAGTTAGTTGAAAGCAATGTGGTTGGCGGGTGCTCTGGCGTGGTTTGCTTCTTCTTTCCTATGAAACATCTATCGTCCATCTATCGTCCTTATCTCCCCCTTCTTCTTTTTTATGTTTGTTACTCTCTTGTAACACCTCTAATCTTCTGGCGCTCATTTGACCTTATGCAGTTGCGAGCTCCGTAAAACCTCTACTAAAAACGAAAGCAATGTGAGATTTTTGAATTGATAATGATAGCAGGTAGCCTACTAGTGGGTCTGTGTAAAAAAAGGCACATTCCCTCCAATGAACGACTGTGTCAATACTAGTGCCTTGTGTACTGCAATAAAAGGACAGACCAGCACGCAATTCATCACATAAAAAAAATAAAAAATATATATAGATATACATACAGTCCGTGCTGGCTCTAAGCACGCCGGCATAACGAACGTTTCGGATTCAAGCACGTTAAACAGCTGTTACTGAATTTTTGCTAAATAAATCACATGCCTTTAAGCACGGTAACTTCGGCTTCAGGCACGCTTCATTTACAAGACAGTCAATACTTTCATGATGACTCATCGAAGTTCGAACACAGTCTACACCGCAGCAGTGAGTGTTTTAAGAGAAACACAAAGAACACAAGTGATGGAGACACACACCTACACGCACGGACAGGAAGGCAGAGAGATGAACAGGGCCGCATGCGTGGACATGGGATCAAGCCTTTGGCAAAGCTACACACGTGACACACACAAAAAATACATAAAGAGTCGGGGAGACGAGAAAAGGAGGCTGACTGGTTTCACTTTTGCCCCTCGTTATCCGATAATCCTGATATGTATCACGCGTGAGGTGGGATGAAGGCGGTGGTAGTGGTATGAATGTGGCACAGCGGGCAGTGGTACGCACAGGCAGTGTGTAGGCCTTGTGTGCTGTATCGTGACTGGCCGTCTTAAAATTAAGTTTTCCTTTCCCATTCGATCATAAAACGAAAGGAACAAAACAAAAACTACCCTGGTGGGTAAAAAAGACAGTGCACACTTTTGGGAGACCACTACTTGAAAACAAAAGGGTAATAACTTAGGAAATGTTCAAACTAAAGATCTCTGAAGGTCTACTTCGCACTCAAGCACGCTTCGCCATTGAGCACGCTTAAAAGCCTTCTCCCGATGACCGTGCCTAAAGCCGGCATGGACTATATATTTCATCACAGCTCAGTAAATGGGAAAGACCATTGAAGACGGTCACGTTAGGATCTCTGCTGACATTCCATGCTGCAACACTTTTATATCCACACATATATCCCCCCCCTCCCAGCAGTCCTTCCAAATATAGTGGATAAAGTTCTTTCAGCGGCTGGAGAAAAAAGTGTAACGATTCATAGAAATTTTTTCTTGGCTTGCCCTCATAGTGGTCAAACTAATCTCACATCTCTGGCCCATAGCTACCCAAGAAAGCTTTCACAGGCACTTGTGAGATTTCACATCCACACAACTATGACCATCTGTACCACGCAGGGCTCACATAGATGGGGTAACATCTAGGACTACCCTCAAGTTGCATCCCTGTTCCTCTTCCTCACCCGACAGCATGGCATAAAGGTCAGGCTCGTAGGAATCAAACTTGATAGGTTTTGTTTCGAACCAGGGCTGAGTGGGTTTAGACATGTAAAAACCCTCCAAAGACATGGAATTTCTTTCCATTTTTTCGTGTTAGAAGGCAGGTTTCTGTTTTATACAGGTTTATCTGACTATAGAGGAATTTATCATGGGGAGAGCAGGGAGATTCCATGCCATATGACAGGTCTGACCGTCTAACACGGGTTTCCGTTACGGCAGGTTCAACTGTGCTTGGGTTTCTCAAATTTTTCGCTTCATCAATTATAAAAACCAGAATTGTCAATTACACATAATTGTCAATCCCTGAGTTTAAGTCTAAGTGCTGTGCTTGACAGTACAAAGAATGCTAACTTCTAACGAAGTGGTCAAAGTATAGCTAGCCTGACAGTCTGGCTGTCCTTTTAGTATGGTTAGCCTAGCCGTCTAGCCATACACATAAGTACGGCTAGCCTGCGAGTCTAGCCGAACTAAACTTGTCTAAAGATCTAGGTTTGGCCCTATTGACCGATACCTGTTGAGTACACATGTCTCATAGATCTCTAGTAATTATTCAGGTATAAAATAACAGTATGCATGTCATTGTCAGTAAGGCACCTTTTGGTTTCGTCTGAAATACAAATACTTAAGGCGTTAGATGTATTGCAAACTAAAATTTCATTTCCACTTCAGCCATGTACGGCTAGCCTACCAGCCGTCTAGCCGTGCTTATTTTAGGTCCTATTGGAAACCTGTTGAGTACACAGAGGTCTCATTAGTAGTCTTATTATTTAGATTTAAAATACATGCACTGTCAGAAAGGCACCTTTTGGTATCGTTTCAAATACATTTGTTGGCCTATTTATAGGCCAAGATCTAGATTCTAGATTCTAGACTTTTAAGTCTAGATTCTAGATTAGATTTAGATTATTAGGTCTAAATTGCAAACTAAAAATTTATTTACAATTCAGTAAGCTAGGCCTATTTTTTGCTGTTTGTAAGTCTAGCCATCATGTAAGTCATTAAGTACGGCTAGCCTGCCAGTCTATCCTAGCCTAGCAGTCTAGCCTCTTCCAACTTCTAAAATTCTGTCTCTTCCCTTAGCCTTAGCCTAATCCTTTATAATAACTTTAACAAAACTTACCGTTTCACCACACCAGTTTTAATCTTGATTTGCTTGATACGAGGATCTGCCATTATTATATTTTCAGTGCTGATTCGAACTCGATATTAACTGCAACCAAATGTTTTGACTTTTAGGCGTGCGTTACTATGTTCACTCTGTGACTCAGCCAGCAGTCAGTCAAATCAACATGAGCAAGTTGCGGCAGAAAAGAGCGAAAGAAAGCGATGATAACATACCGGAAGTCATGATAAATGTTTACAGGTAATGAAACTCCCCAGAGATATTATTCCCACGATTTAGAGGGTCCGTCATGGAAATATTATGAAAACTACGTAAATCTATATCAAATGTTTATCATTTCATACTTGCAATGAAAATTAAGAATGATGGTAGACTAATCTTGTTGACCCTTTCAAATTTTCTAGTTAAAAAAAAAACGACCCTGAGAAACTATAATGTATTTAGAGTGTCTAAAATGAATGAATCACCGGAAAGGGTCAAGGCCACAAATGCCGTGTTTCCAATGTACACAAATTCAACTTTTGTATTCCCGAACAAACTAATCGGCGCCGTGTGAGATGTGACCTCTGACTCTGAATTCTGTGCTCTGAACTGACCGGAATGTTTTTGGACACAGCTGATGGATGAAATGAAAAGACTGAAATGAGTGCTTTTGTAGTAATTCTGTGCATCTTCTGTATTCTTCCGTGCTGGCTAGTTGTGTCCACATACGAACAATCCTCTTCTAGATTCTGATCTAGTCATACCATTTTTATTAATATTGACATTTTGAATATGATGCTGATGCACATGTCTTGTTTACTAATTTATTATTATTATTACATTATTAGTTTGGAGTGAGGAGGCCTTCTTGTGCTCTTGACATTGACAATTGGCATTTTCTACCACAGATGACAAGTATTCTGACTAGTCTAGGTCTAGATTTACCAACTGTTACATGAACTTAGATCTAGCTAGATTCTAGATCTAGATCTAGAATCTAGATCTAGATCTAGTCGTACTAAAGAATCTTTATGTGGTATAGATCTAGTATATAATAGTAGATCTAGAATCTAGATCTAGATCTAGATCTAGATCTATATTATATAGATTTTATATATAAATCTACATTTTTTTTCTATTTCTCTGTCTGGTCAGGTCAAATCTAAATGATTAATAGAATATATGCTATAATATCTTTGTTTATGTGTCAGTGTGTAGGGAAGTGATGTTGTACTGATCTGTCACTTATCAAAATCAGTAATGTACTGTGTTCAGAAGTTCAAAGGAGTCAACCTTACATTTGAAACAGAATAAGCGATAATATGTACTCTGATTATAATTAAATAGTACAATGGCTTCTGTAGGTCAAAACATCACAATCAGACGGTGGAGTCCAGGTGATGATGACGGAGTGTGGAGTGTGCTGAGTGATGGAAGTTATAGTCTTGTTAATTCAACGTTTACAATGTGCTTGAAGAAACGAACTGCAAAAGTTGCTATTATTGTTTTATTGGGCATTTGCATGGTACTGAAAATCCCAATTTTATATATAGTGGTGATGTATTCTATATTTTTTCTTCTCATTTATATAATTTCTTTGTTAGGATCTGTTATATATCTTTATGGATCAACTCTCAAAGACTTGAAGGACATCTCAAAGTCTTATTTTGAAGATTCAGACCATCATTTTTGGGTTGCGGTTTGTGATGGAGAAATTGCTGGAACCATAGCTATTGTGAAAAAGAAATTTCCTTTGGTAGGATCTCCCGAAGCACTGGAAAAAGAAACTTCTCCCGAAGCACTGGAAAAAGAAACTTCTCCCAAAGCACTGGAAAAGGAAACTAAAGTCCAACGTTATGGCAGCAAAGTTGACATCACTGTGAAGGATGGCAGAAACAAGATTGCTATGCTAAGAAGAATGTCTGTGAAAAGGCAGTTTAGAGGTTTGGGAATTGCGAGGAAGTTAGTTCTCGAAGCAGTTTCCTTTTGCAGGCAGTCTAGTTACAGCAAAATATTTCTGATTACAACTGAAGTGCACCATGCTGCGAGGTCATTATATTCTAAGTTAGGGTTTCATCTCTCTGCTGTGAGGCCATACAGGTACCTGTCTGGTTTAGTGACAGTCAAAACATTTGAATATGAAATGGATCTCTAATGTTCACTCTCCTCACATACATACAAATGTACAAAGATACATCGGAGCAAATACACACGTCTATTGAGCATAGATAGCATAGTGTCCTGTTACTCTCTTACTTGTTACAAGTTTCAGTTCCCAGTAATAGTTTACTGGCGTCTGTGGTGTAGTTTAAGCGCTTGTTGCATGCAGGAGACCCAAGTTCGAGTCTCAAGTGAGGAGAAATTTTTATCAAATATCTTGGTTTTCTCTTGGGATGTTGTAGCCCTCTTAGCCCATATTGGCCCTGGCAGGCTTAGCTTGAAGCCCACCCCCTAAAACTATATGACGTAGATGTGTCAAAAAGAGTGTTAAAAACGCCTACATTAAAAAAATTTGTTGTTATAGTTTGGCTGGAGCAGTTGTTAAAATTGTTCCTGACCTTTTCACAGTCTGAAATGGTTGAAGGTTACGAAAGTTAAAATATCAGGAATTATTTTAGAATAGATGAGGGGCTTTTTTCCTGTGCCTAAAAAAGGTCAGCTGTAAGTTGACTTTATGAATGTGGTTGTCACTTTCATTGGATCAAAATATTATTCACATTTCAGATGAAATGTAACATAATATGGTCCATTAAGTTTGTGAGTGATCTTTTTGTTTTTCTTAGCAGAATATATGCAAATCTGTTGATCTCAAGTGTAGCCTAATTATCCATCCACTGGAGTCTCTGTTGCTTTTATTTTTCTTGCTTTACCTGAAGAGTTATTTTTAAAAATCTGTTCATCATTGGAGCAAGATATTATGTGTGGCATCATGATTATGATACTATCAAGCGCTCGTCAAAATAATGGAATTGAAGAAATCAGCATTTTTCCGCCATATTAGGCAATTTTTATGTTTTATTTTTCACCTGAACACTGTTTATTTCCATTTAAAGAAAACATTCCTAGAATTATCATGTAGTTTTTACTGAAAAACGTTGGTCAAAGGCACAAAACAACGTCAATTTACAGTTTCCAAAGAAGTTTGGTAGCCATTTTCTAGTTAATTTTACCTCTGACACCAGGTAACCCCCACCTCCTTACTTCAATCGCAGGTATCTTGACTTATATTTAAATTAAATCTGTATTTTTCTTTCACCGAAAGCAAGACAAATGAATAAGTTTTGAGATGATACCAATAACTTCATATCCCCTAAAATTGATGAGCGCCTGATTGCTCCTAGTCGAGACACGTGTTTGTCAGTGAATAGAAAAACAGTTTGATGATAGAAATACCTGTTACTTTTCAGGAGTCACTGCTTGCTAACAAGAAGTCAGCATATGCGTGTAACTTAGAGGTAATGGCTTTATATGGTATTGCAGAAGAATTTGAAAAAGGAAGTCCTCTGAAAGCATTTATTGTGGTCCTTTGCCGTATTAAGTATTTCAGGAACTGCATAGGCTTTGAAAAAGTTGCTGTCCCTTCACTTTAAATCTCATGACATGAGACATGGGCTTGACATTTTTTCTGACAGTAATTTAGTGCAACAAGTTCATTCTCATGTCATCATGTCATTATGATTTTTTATGCTGTCAGCATTTAGTTTTAGGGTGCTTTTTGGGTTTTATTTTAAAAGTACAGCCGCGAACCTGCCATGGCAGCCGCCTCTATAAGACGACCACCTGTACAAACGGCTATTTTCCACCCCCCCCCCCCCCCCCCCCCTTCGTTTTTTCGATATAATTTCACTGTGTAAAACCGCCACCTTTCCTACGCAGCCGTGGCCCCCGTATTTTGACACACAACCCCTATCACATCAAACAATAACACCTGTCTAAGACGGCCACCTTAGTGACTCCATTACGTTTTGTCATGAATTATGCATAGGCCCTTGACGTTGTGGACGAGCTGTCATAATCCAATCACCTGTCGTTGTTGTTAGGTAGCCCCTCCAACTGACCAAGTTGCGTTGGCCCCTCACACTGATGACCAGTAACAAATTTTCAGCTGCTGGTGAGGTAAGTGTGTGATCCCTCATAACCCATAAAAGCCCTGCCCACAACTCATACGTAAATCGTAAGTGAGAAGAGTGGTCACTGTTTACCCTGTCTGTAACCAAGTCACAATGGATGTCAACATGAACTAGTGACAGAAGCGTTGCTCGTTCTCTGAGTGGTGGCAACTCATGAGTTTGTTTTAACCCTTTCAGTTGGCCCTGGGGTAATTTTGTACCCCCAGGGTTACATTTTTCATATTTTAGAATACTTTTAGTACGAAGATCTCTTTGAAACTTTCAGTAGCCCATTTGTCAAAAAATCATTTTGACAGACTGCTATGCAAAGCGTACGAATCATATTAACGAGTAAATTTCTTCTTTGGAAAGTGGTGGCACAGAGTTCCCCATGTCGTATGGATACGATAGTAAAACATGACGTACGGATAGGGTTAACTTGACACTTTGTGTTCCTTGTCTGACACATTTCATGTTATTGTGACCCTTGCTCAAACTCAGCAACAAAATAAAAAGCAAACGAAAACCAAAACAACAACAACTACGACCATTTGGCTACCTTCGGTTGGGACTTCAGATGGGAACGGTTTGTTTTCTTCATCTTGTAATCAGTCCTGCCTAAGATAGCCACCTGTCTTATACGGCCACTTTTCTCCTTGACAGAGGGTGGTTGGACTGTATTTCACTTTTTACCCAATGCGATGGGCATATCAATGTAATATTTGCCCCATTTGTCTGTGCCTTTTTTTTGATATTGCAAGTAATATAAATCGACATAGCCTGATTGAATATATTCTACTGGTCTATGTTACAGATTTCAAGTTGAGGCAATACTTGTATCAAGTTTCACTAATATAGGATGTATTATGATGTATTATTTTGTATTTGTCCTTTTCTTTTCACAGAGTAGTTACCTTATTGTTAGTACATGCGTTTGTGAAAAAAATTATGGGACACTTAATACATTCTGTTTTCTATAACACTGGATCCAGATTTTCATAGTGTCACATATGATATTCTTATATATCCCGAGAAGGGTTTAAGAAGTCTTTGGTCTAAATATGAAGGAATGAAAATAGAGCTTTGTAACTTGGCATGCATACTTTTATTTCTCTACATAGTCACTGTGCAGAGTTGCTTATTTCTGCCACCTCTCTTTGACCTTCAAAAGTCCTGGAGAGAAAAAAAAATGACCCTGAATGGACCCCAAACCAGAAAAGTCTGATGAATAAGCTGGGTGTGGCAGGATTTCAAAGCCACCCTGTTCTTCTGTCTGGACTGCTTG